TACTAATAGACGGGGCATGGGCTTAGTTCGAGCGATCTCGCGTGAGCTCTCGTATAAGGTCTATATGGCACCAGTGCGATAATGTGGAAAACGCTACAAGTGATTAATAAACTAGTTCTAAATCGTTGTTGGATATTGTAATTAGTATATTAGCATTCGTAGTTCATTATTACTAAATATAATACATACCAACAGAGTTGGTATTTAAATATCAATTAGTGTTTATTATCATTAAGAAAATCATAATCTAACTTGATGTATATTATTTTTTAGAAGGGCAATACCATGTCAAAGTGCGACGTTGCAGAAGCCGCTGTCCCTCTCAACTCTCCTACTTTTCTTTCTTGGCGTAAACTTCAATTGAGTAAAGCTAAACTCAAGGCTTCAAGCAAAACATCAGCGCTTTTATCAGGTTTTGCTATGGTATGTTAAAATATTTTGTCTTATAAAATAATCTTTTAACTATAATCAAATATCATTCTATAGGTGGCAATGGTGGAGATGAAAATTGACGAACCTGAAGTACCAGGTGAAATGCTTATAGCATTTGCTATATGTACCACCCTCTTAGTTGCTGTTCACATGTTGGCTCTAATGATAAGTACATGTATTTTACCAAACATTGATGCCATCTCCAATCTCCATTTGGTTAGTCTCGTACATGAAGCTCCACATGAACGTCTACATTGGTATATAGAAACTGCATGGGCGTTTTCAACACTTCTTGGCCTTGTATTGTTCCTAGTTGAAATTGCTATATTATGTTGGATTAAATTTTATGCTGTATCTGAATATGCAGCATGGTCTGCCATTATTATGTTAATCCCTGTCCTAGTGATATTTTTAGCATTTGCAATACACTTCTATCAATCTATGGTGGCCCATAAGTATGAAGTGACTGTGAGTGGTATAAGACAATTAGAGCTTCTGAAAGAACAGATTGAAGCAGGTGGCTTAGAACGCACAAATGGATTGTTACTGAGTACGTCAACCACACAAATTGTTTGACAGTACCTTCAAGTGAGACAAATGTCCTAAATAACCGTTCAGTTCTTAAAATAAATATAATTTTAATGGTGCTTTATTAAACAAAACGTTGAAAAATGTTGTTTGACTTATTATCTTGACTGTTACCTATACATTTTTTTTTACCATTTTCCATAAATCCAACCTGTCCTATAAATTAATCTTGTTATTACAAATCTATATTACTTTGCCGATCTGCAAATTAACCATTATCTAGTAACATTGTTATTATTTTTTTCTATTTGTTACTATAGTAAATTACATGAACGTAACGAAATGAGTGAGTTCGTGTTATAATTTACCTATATTATAATATAATATACTGCCGTCTATCGTTGGACGATTAAACGGAAAACGTTGGAAAATTATTATTATAAATTATAATTTTATTATATCTATGTTATATTTATGCCTACATTTTTTTTATTTATAAGATATTTTTTTTTTACAATATGTACAATGTACATAATATATAGCATTCTGTAGTTCATTATAAATTCAATTTTTGATTGATTAATAAGAATGGTTAAAATTACTTTTTTTTTTTGACTTGCCGTCAGCCGCTCGGGCCGCTAAAGCATTACAGCAATAGCTTAGACCAGGGCCGGATTGGACAAGTTCAGCCCACCGAGTTTTTCGTACTTTACAGTTTACCAGTCCACTTACAAACTGGGCAAACTTAATCATATCATGTAAAAAATCTAAAATGTGTTCATGGACAGGCATCTCAACTCGACGTTGCTATAATGTCCGATCCAATAATGTAAGTTATAATAGTGTAAATAATAAAAGCATAGTAAAAAAAAATAGTTAATAGACTAGGTATTAATATAGTACCTACTTAATTAATTTAATATACCTAACCGTACCTATACATAACAATATTGTAATAATTTATTATATATGTTTGAATTCATTAGAACAATGCCGTAACAGATGCCGCTTCTCAAACCGATCGACATCCATCTGCATACCTAACTGTAAGTTGAAAACGTCTATATTAAAAATTGTTATAAGTAGTATAATATATTAATATGTAGGTATCTAATAAATTAATTTTCTTTAGCATTCCGCAAGAATGAACGGTACAGTTTAGCAACTTGCCGAGGTTGCCATAGATGACATAAATTCATATATTATATAATAAACCCATGGAACTTATAGACTAGTGCCTAATGGTCAATTGATAAATCGTATGTTCTTTTACAGAAATCTTTGTGATCCGCAACTTATCTATTCTGGTTTTCTATTTCAATTGTTGTTCGCAATTTCGCATTATGCTTAACTATAGAAATTAGACCGACGTTCATAGACATTCTAATGAATTCTCCCGACGGTGCCCCTAAACACAGTGTTGGGGAAGTTATATTTCTTTGGTAATTAAATAAATTACAATACGAATAATAAGTTAGGTAGGTATTATGTAGGCACTTGTCCCAAAATCGTTTACCAAGAGTTAAGCAAAAAAGGGAGGTCAATTAAAAAAAAAAGTGGGCACACGTGTCGCTCTGCTGTACAGTAGGTTACAAGTGAGTCACTGTATAATGGATGATATTAAATTTGAATTCAACGATATATCATTGTATAAGAAAAACGATTCTGAGCGGAGACGGTATGTCAGTTTAGGTATAAGACATGTTCAAATTTGAATTTAAAATGTCTGTAAAAAATAACTGTGTTCATATATTTTTTAGATTTTTTGGTTACAGTATGAACTATTTATGAGAACCTTTGTTTTAAATTTGCAATCCTTAGCTATAAAAACTGAACATTTAATATTTTATAATTTATTAATTACAATGATTGATAATTTTCGAGATTTTGATAAATTTTGTCAAAATTCGATTTTTAAATGTTTATAAAAAAAATTGTGCCTATGTATTTTTAATATTTTTCAACTGGTATTGTAACAATATATCAGGAGCCTTGTATTAAATTTTTACACTCTTTGGCCCAACAGATAAAACTTTATTGATATTTATAGAAAAAAAAACTAAAAAAAATTGAAAGCGGTAAATGTCCGTAAATAGCTCAAAAAGAGTCAAAATATTTTCAAAATTGTATGATGTATAGGAAATGCTAATTTAAACATTCAGTGAAATTTTCATGTATCTACAGTTATTCGTTTTTGAATTACAACAAAATAAGGAAATCGCTACATAAGAAATCGAGTGAATATCCAACGTTGTAAAAATTTGAATTTCAAACGCTCATAAAAATTTAATTTGACTTTCTTATAGACATTTTTTTTTTGATAAAGGTAGATATTCTTATAAGGAATCTTGTATTACATTTTCAAATCTTAGATTTAAAAAGAAAAATTTTTACGAATTCTTAACTCAAAATAATTTGCTAATTTTCGTGATTTTTCCATATTTTGTCAATTTTTGAACTTTAAATGCTTATAAAAAAAATTGTGACTTAGGATTTTTAATATTTTTCATCTGCCTTTGAAACAATATACTAGGAATATATATATTATATTCTATTAAGTTTTCAAGCTTTCGCAACTAACAAATAAAATTTTATTGATATTTTTAGAAAAAAAACTAAAAAAAAATGGAAAATGAAAATGTCCCTTAACAGTTCAAAATAAATCAAAATATTTTGAAAATGTTATCGTGTATAGAAAATGCAAATATAAACAACCAGTGAAAATTTCATGTATATACGTTAATTTCTTTTAAAGTTACACCAAAAACCAAAATCGATTTTTTGGAAATCCGATTTTGCATAAAAATTCCCGTTTTTCCTTAATTTTTATGTTGTTTTTCAAGGCGCTTGTGAAAACTACTAGGAATTTTTTACTTTTGACCCCCGAAAATACCAACTAGATTCACTTTCCTATCAGAAAAGCTACTGTTGAAGAAAATCCAAGCACTTTTACTGTTCTAAAACGTGATGACAGACACAAAAATAAAAATAAATAAAAAATAAATAAAAAAAACACACATCATTGTAAAATCAATACATTCATCGTTTCACTCAGAATCTAAAATAAATCAGTCACTCTGTTGAACAGTAGGTACAAGTGGGTGACTGTTATGGATAGTGTTAAATTTGATTACTTGAACTCAATAATATAATACCTATCATTTAATACGAAAAACGACTCTAATAGTGGAGACGACTTATCAGCCTAGGATATTGTATATTATATTTATATTGAATTATTATTATTTGTTTTTTATCATATTTATATGTAAAATATTTTAGACTTTTCAATTACCCACGAATAATATTTTTTAAATAGGTAAAACACCACAAACTCAAATCGTTCTTCTTCGTTTAAACATCTAATTTCGTCCAATTTGAACATAAAATAACTAAGTATAAAAAAAAAACTGTGTTTCATAATTTTTTTAGATATTTTGGTTACAGAATAACCTACTTATGTGGAACTTTGTTTTCAATTTTCAAACCTTAGCTATAAAGTTGCAAAATTATTTTTCAATTATCAATTTCAAAAATTGTGCCTATCTATTTTTCAATTTTCAACTGCTTTTGTAACAGTATATCTGGAGCCTTGTATTAAATGTTCATGCTTTTTGACCCAACAACTAAAATTATATTGACATTTGAGTATTTCTAGAAAAAAGAAACTAATAAAAATGGTTACTGAAAATGCCCACAAACAGCTAAAACAAGTCAAAATATTTTGGTGGTGTATAGAAAATGCTAATATAAACATTCAGGGAAATTTTCATTTTTAGAAAAATGGCAGATTGTGGATGGGTATTGAAAGAAGAAAAATAAGTAGAAATCTGGCAGCGCTGCTAGTTCCTTGATGTGTGATTACCCGGGTTTCAACTGACAAATCCTAGCCCCACATACAAGCATTCCTCAAACAACCGAATTCCCCCTACAAAATGCCAATGGCTATAGTTGCCGATGCTTAAGATCAATAAAAAATAATAATAAATAAATAAATTTATATTATTGTTATCAATATTTTTTAATAAGTTGTGTGTATCTTAAGAATCATCTTCTGTGTCTTCAAAGATCATGTTAAGTAAATCAGGTTTCAAACATTCTTCCACTTGGAGTTTATGCAATGTACCCCATCTAAGCAGCGTAGGTAAGAATTGCAACCGTATTTTTTTGTCCAATTTAAATGGATTGTCATTGTTATTCTTCCATCTGTAAGAAAAATAACACTTACAATTAATAATTATTGAAATTGAAATTTTAGTTTTAATAAAAAAATAATATTTTATTTATGTATACAGAATTATTAATTTTTATTAAATTAATTTACTTTTTACTTTTTTAATACCATGGGTCCATGTTAATAAATAATCATTAATTACATAAGATTTATGTGGGTATAAAGATCTTTTAATTTGTATTAACTATTTAATATGAAATTAAATTCACACCAATGCACTTTAAAAATTGAATTATATACACACGGGATAAAACACAATGATCATAGCAAGGACGAATCGGAAAATTCGGCCCACTGAGTTTACCGTATTTTACCAGCCCACTAACAAACTGGCGGCCCTTGGGTACGTTCTTATTCCGTGCATAGTTTTTTTTTTTTTATAGTCTATTTCTTTGTCTTTTATCTCTTAACAATTAACATATTTTCAGTCAGCGGCCCTCATCATGACTTGAAGGGCTCAAAATTTCCGAGCCCCACCTAGTGTTAGTCTGTCACTCGCTGGGCCAATCCGGTCCTAGATTATAGGTATATCTAATTATATTAATACTATATTCTTCTTCTTCTTCTCCAGTTTTAAAGGTCATTGAGGTCCATTACCGCAACACAAATTTGCTTCCACCTGTCTCTATCCTGAACTACTGCTTCCATATCTTGTATTCCAAATTCTTCCAGTCTTTTTTACTTTGTCTATCCACCTTTGTTTTGGTCTGCCTAGTGGTCTTTTCACAAGGGATTTCCACATTAATACCGCTTTCAATAGGCTACTTTGAAATTTCATTACAAAAAATAGTTAAAATGGTTTATTCTCTTTTCTAGTACTTATGGGTACAATTACCATTGATTAAATATACATCAATATAGACTATAGTATATTTAATCAATGTTAGTACATGGTAGATATTTACAGGATTATCATGTTGTAATATATATATATACTTAACATTGAGCAAAAATACAATATAAAAAGGTGTTTTAATAGCTAAAACTCACTCTTCTCTTGTGCCAACTTGAGCATATACAATATTTGTGTCTTTTAGATGCTCCTCATTGTGTTCTATCTGTTTCTTGATGACTGGATCGGCTATAACAATTAAATCATTGTTGAAAAAAAGGACAAAAAAACATCATCAAGATTTATAACTTTACTGTTATGGTCAAAAATGAGTGTATCAAGCAATAACTATCGATCACATACCTATAACACAGTCTGAACACCAACTCTCACCACTCTCATTGGGCGTACCCGTGAAAACGACAAAAGTCTGCTGTTTTGATTCCTCCAATGTTTTCATGAGCGTAATAAACTCTTCATAGTTTTTAGTACGGTGCGAGTGGACCATGTTCAGTATTTCAAATAGAATTATGTAATATAACACACAAAAACCTACAGAAGAGTAGTAGCAGTATATGTAACAACTTTAAGTGAGTAAGCACAAGTGAGTCATCTATCGACAATAATATTACTATAATTTATAATATTACTATTAGAGCTGCTATCAAGTATGAATTATGAAAATTTTCGCAATCGTGGACGTTCGTAGTTTCCGGCAGATGGCTCGTGGTTGTTAGTGCTTGTTACAATTTACAACTGTACAAGTATTGAAGACTGAAATATTATACATAATATTTTTTACAACATAAAATAATATAGTAATATGGTATGTTACTATAAAAGAAAAATAATTAGTAATTCAACACTTCAACATCAACACCGCTTGTTACTTTTGTTGTTGTCGCCGTTGTAGTTTTCGTCGTTATCTCCCAACTCCCGTGGTGATAGCGGTAACGGCCGACGATCGTGCGGCTCACAGCTGACCTTGAACATGCTTGTGCCACTATTTACACTATCTAAAGCCGTGGCGTTTCCCCCATTCGTTTTTGATTGGTGTTATCAAAAAATTTTCGCACAGCAGAGAGACGACTGCGAAATTTTCTCTCCTCGGCCCTCGCCACCCACACAGTCAAGCTACAGTCGTATTACGGTGGTCGTTTGTTCGTGCGTGTGATAACGACACTAAGCACTACGTCTAGCGGTGCACCAGTTCTATTTTCTTTCAGATCTCTACATATGTCCTTTACAGACTCGTGAGTAATAAAAGTTCATTATTTATATCGTTTGATTTCATATTTTTTTTTAATTGGAAATCGTTACACATAAATGCAATAGTTTTTTAATCGCACTCGATAATTGGTTCCACATTACCCGAGTCCCGACAGACCTCGTCGTTCGACAATGTTTTAATACCAGAGTATGATTATAACATTAATCGCTGATATTTTGACGAATCACCAGTGAATTCACACACGTAGGTGAATTTTAAAGGTTTAATCTTCCTACTTGTCAGTCCAGTCTGCATTAATTCATGTTGCACCAGTTTTTTTAAATTTTACTTTTTACTTTTTATTATTGTTTACATTAGACTACCGTATTTTATTAATTAATATAATATTATATGTAGATAATATATATATATATATATTATATACAAATATTTGGGTACGCGGCACTTAGCTCAGTTCTTGATGTCATCATTCTCGATCAGTTCCGGTCACCACACGTTGTACGGCACCAAAGATAACTTGGTGGACCAAGACTTTAATTGGCATTGTTATAATAACTTTAACAACCATCAAAAGGTTCGTTAATATACTACCAACAATTTGAAATGTAAAATTGTCTCTGACGTTAACATTTTAACCTAACATATGTTGGTAATGATGTCTACAGTCCTTGATGCGCTTCGAAATTGGATATGATGCAGCCTAATTTTCTTCATGCATGAATGGATTGATTTCAGTTGGTTTATGATGTATAACAATAAGTCATTGGCTGCATAAAACTATTTATCAATAGTTGGCATTTTTTTTAACTTAATTTTATATACCTACCTATAAAATATATACTTATATATTTTGTTAACAACATGCAAATGTAAAAACATTATTTGAGGTGTGGTTAACTTATACCAAATACCTATATAACCATAGTCTGCAAATTTTTTTTAACTAATTTTTAACCATAAACAACTACAAAACCAATTTCAGGAGGTCTTCACAAACCTGTTGTTGTTGAAAAAAATTTTTTTAATCAAATATTATAGATCTAAATTAGACTAAGTGACTAATAAACTAGTTCTAAATCGTTTTTGGATATTGTAATGCGTTATAGTAGTTCATTATTACTGAATATAATACATACCTACGGTGTTGGTATTTAAATATCAATTAGTGTTTATTATCATTAAGAAAATCATAATGTAACTTGATGTATATTATTTTATAGAAAGGCAACAACATGTCGCAGTGCGACGTTACAGAAGCCGGTGTCCCTCTCAACTCTCCTGCTTTTCTTTCTTGGCGTAAACTTCAATTAAGTAGAGCTAAACTCAAGGCTTCAAGCAAAACATCAGCGCTTTTATCAGGTTTTGCTATGGTATGTTAAAATATTTTGTCTTATAAAATAATCTTTTAATTATAATCAAATACCATTCTATAGGTGGCAATGGTGGAGATGCAAATTAGCGAAGACTCTACGGTACCAGAAGGAATGCTTATAGCATTTGCTATATGTACCACCCTTTTAGTTGCTGTTCACATGTTGGCTCTAATGATAAGTACATGTATTTTACCAAACATTGATGCCGTATGTAATCTCCATTCGGTAAGTCTCGTACATGAAGCTCCACATGAACGTCTACATTGGTATATAGAAACTGCATGGGCGTTTTCAACACTTCTTGGTCTTTTATTGTTCCTAGCTGAAATTGCTATATTATGTTGGGTTAAATTTTATGATATATCTAAATATGCAGCATGGTCTGCTGTTATTATGTTGATCCCTGTCCTTGTGATATTTTTAGCATTTGCAATACACTTCTATCAATCTATGGTGGCCCATAAGTATGAAGTCACTGTGAGTGGTATAAGACAATTAGAGCTTCTGAAAGAACAGATTGAAGCAGGTGACTTAGAACGCACAAATGGATTGTTACTGAATACGTCAGGCACACAAATTGTTTGACAGTACCTCCAAGTGAGGCAAATGTCCTAAATAACCCTTCAGTTCTTATAATAAATATATAACTTTAATGGTGCTTTATTAAACAAAACTTTGAAAAATGTTCACATGATGTGTTACTGTGTTTGATTTATTATCTTGACTGTTGCCTATACATTTTTTTTACCATTTGCCATAAATCTAACTTTTCCTATAAATTAATCTTGTTATTATAAAGATTTAATGAATACAAGCTACACATTAGTATAATATATTATATTTTATATTATTTTTCTTTACGGAGCTCAACATTTCCTAGACTAATTATAAAGTTTTAAGTTTTACATTAATAAACTTTTATGTTAAATTGTATATATTTTAACTTTAACAGTGTAATATAATCTATATTACTTTGCCGATCTGCGAATTAAGCACTATCTAGTAACTTTGTTATTATTTTTTCCATATGTTTCCATTTACATTGTCATTTATTTGGCCTTTGATCAAATATGCTACATCAAAATAAAGATTGTTATAATTATACTAACTTAAAAAAAGTGAAACCTTTAGGTATTTGAACTATATTATTTTGATGCAGTTTAGTACAGTTTTAAGAACTCTTCAGTTTGGTTTAATATTTTTTATTATAACATAATTTATTAGGTAATGCCTATTTTTAGTTTTTTTTTTTTACCATATATTTTTTATGTAATTTGTATTGATGAATATTTGTCTGTCACATATTTTTCATCTTCTACACAAAAAAGATTTATAGCATTTTTTCATTAAACTTATAATAATTGTTTTATATTATTATTGTTATTTTTTTTTTTTTTTTTACTTATATATATTTATTTTTCATGTGGACATCTATAATAGTACTGTCGTTCAGATAGTTCTGTGTTAAATAATTATATATGCATAATATATATATATATATTTATAAGAAAAACAATGATTTCAACTCATTCCATTTGTTAAAATATTATCCATAACAATTCTATACTTGTCTTTAACGACATTAATGTTAATGCTTAATGTATGTAATGTATATGTACTTATTAGAATTCTGTACACTTTTCAAGATTGTGATGTATTTTTGTATACAGACGGTAAGCAATAATAAATGTTAAAATATTTAAATTGCTGTTTTTGCTGTGAAGAGTACAACCTTGATCAGTTAATCGATACATGATCTTATGACTCGATATTAATAATTTTCTCTCCATTTTTTTATAATAAACAATTGTTTAGTGCGTTTAAATACAGAATGATCCATTTAACTTTCTATTCTATCAATTATTTATTACATAGTTTAAAGTATTAATTTAATTTATCAGAATGTTCTTTTGTTAACAATTATTTTTATTCATATTTAGAAGCTCCAAAAAAGTAATTTTTATGACGTATAGATATCGGATCTAAGATGAACGGAAAAAATGGTAATTTTTATCTTGCAAAATGTATGATCTACTGACTAATGACTAGTACTCTACTCAACTAACCTTTTTATGTTATAAAATGCTTATTCGTGATTGAATAAATTATACATACCTAGTAGATATTTAGTAGCTATATATTCTACATCTTTAATTTAGAAAATTATTATTCATCTAAAATAAAATTTTAGTGTCGTTAGAAAAATTAAAAATCACCTTACACTGATAAAAACAATAAAATAATTACTTCTTTTCTTTAAATGTAATTTAGTAAAATATAAATATGATGAAACAACTAATTTGTTATGCTTCAAGTTTCAACCACACAAAAATCTACTTAGACAATACATTTTGTTAAATAGAAAATAGATCAGCCGGTATGTGGTATTCTTTTTTATTAAATTATTCTCAAGAATCTACAAACAATTATTTTAATCACATTCGGTTTTTATTTTTTACAACTAATATTCCCAATAATTTCAATCAGTCCGTGTCACTGCTTTGAATCGTCAACCGTCATGATTCATGAATTGACTGATGTAGTAAATACTAAATAATGATGTATTGTATTGTTGCAGCGTGTTGTTCTAACTATTTAAGTATTGACATATTGTTATGAAAAAATGAGCAGATTGATTTTGTTTAAGATGCAAAGATAAACCGTGTATAACTATCCTACGTACTAATAGTGCTGCTAATAACCCTACGTATTGCAACGTCAAACTATACTATGTAATAAGCACATTTCCAGAAAAACGTTTTAAGTTGAGGTTGTTGCTTGTGAAAACAGTTTTCACCTCACAACATTATAAGATTAGTTTTTGTTCTCACCGTTGAATAAACCTAAACTACCATGAGATCGTGTTAATACTCTTAACAATATTATCTGAATCTAATGCCTATCAGGTGAGTCCACGCTTTTATATTTATAAATTACATTTTAATCGTCTTTTTCTGGGTTTTTTACATATTCAGTTATTATTGCCATTATACGTTATTTATCGTTTATAGTTTATAAAGTTAAATTCATAAACCATTGCTGAGTTTGTTTCGACATTCAGACGATATAGAAATAATATAGATCAATAGATCTTCTGTCTTGTGTAAATGTGTAATACTTATACATAGGTACAGCAGAGGACTGCATTTGCATATTTAATTTACACAATCGCAAAAATGGCAGAGTAAGAAACAAATACGTTTTATGATAAAACAAAGCTAGTTTTGTAATTGTATTCTGCATATAAATTATAAAGCAAATTTTGTGGTTTTTTTGATTTTTATGCATATTTATTTCAATTTTACTTTTTGATACATCAATACATGATTTAATTAATTAGATAATAATTTAGTATAATTAGGTAATAGTACGACCAAATAATTCAAAAATAAATATTTCTAATCATACTGTTTAAAATCAATAATATGTTTTCATATTAGGTATTTTAGTTAAAAGGACGTCACACCCGTATGTTTGTCTCTGACCTCTGTCTTTACACACTTACGAGTTACGACATAAACAATTTTCGTTTGCTAGTTTCAATAGAGATATAGGGTGCTGTCAGTTTTGATTTTAGAGAGAATTTACCTATTATCAAACTTTTTAGTAACAGAGAAAGGTTTTGTACGATACTTTAAATTTTAAGTGAGTTTTGAGTTAATGACATTTTTAAAACATTACATTTCAAAATTACCATACCGATCTTACTTATGAATAATATCAATAAAAGGCTACGTTGGCCCCTAAATAATATTCTTTAAATTTTAATAATTTTATAAACTATAATAAGTCAATTCACTCGAATATCAAAATTAACAGCACATTATTGAAACTGGTAGACGAACATTCGCTAGTGCCTATGTCGTATGTATGTCAGACGGAGACAACACGTCCACACATATTGTAGGCGCGACGTCCTCTTAAATATATTTTTCATTTTTATCATAATATTATTTACCTAAGGATTTCTTAGAAGCGGTTGGCCTGTTAAATTAATTTTCTGTTTATTAATTTTATTTATAGATAGATAATTGTCACGGCACAAATATGAACGATACTCAACCATACAGGTACAGCCACAGAATACAGATACCCCACATATTCACATTTTACATTCTGTGTGTTTCTAAGCGGTCAACTACGCCTTCTGTTAGTGATTTATTTATTATATTTTATACGCCCATTGTACATAATTAAATTATAAAGGTAATTGTTATTCTAATTTTAGGTATCTTTTAAAGTATTAATATTTTTTAATTGACTGCTAGAAAACAATTATTTTTAGTGCTTATTATGGGTGCGTAATACTATGTATAACTTTAAGTGCGGAAGTTGCATATTAGTAAATTACCTAAGTGCTTTTTTAGAACTACAAGTTCTCTGCCCACTAACTCTCTGAGTGAGATATGCCTATTCAAATCGCATAAAACCAAAACTGGAAATCGGTGATCAAAACGAGATACAAATTGTTGGACTTAAAGGTACGGTTTCCCTGTAGCGTCAGACGCCGTAGATTTTATTATTTTATCCCACTCTTTTAATTTGATTTTACAAAATTATTAATTAAACCATAAGCACTGTGATCTTTGTCGCTTCCACACGTAGTTTCCACGTTTTCCAGAGGAAAAGCTAGCACTTTGAGGTAAGATTTGATATTTAACCTTTATTCATTTACTTATTACGACAAGACAATAATCGAGTACGCACGGACGTACGATGTAAAATGTATTATTCGGTTAATCAGTTCGTAATACTTCGTATGAATATTAATAATAATAATATAATGGTTCGACAAAAATAAACGAAACGTTACAAAACAGAATTCAACAAACTCGTTTTACGAAAAAAAGAAATCTAAAATCGTGTTCGATTCGTGGCCGTGTGTCGGTCCCCGGTCGCCGCCCTTATACCTCGCTCGGTAAACAATCTACAAATTACACTATTACTATTATTAGTATTTATAACCGTCATTAAAATATAATAATATACGATGAATAAAACAAGTTTTATAGTTTTAAACGGCGGTCGGTTGCAGGCAACGGACGCTGCGTCGTTCGAAAATTTCGTCGACATCGATTACTTTTTGTTCGCCCGCCATTCTCACCGTCGTGTCGTTATAATATTGTGTATGGATCTCGATTATTATTAGCGGGGGGTTGCCTGCCCGCACGTCGAAGCAGTAGGTACTTGTATATCTGTGTGCGAATATAATAATAAATAATAATGCTGTAATAATGTACGTCTCGGTTTTTATTCTTTCCAAGCCGGTAGTACCTATTGTTGTGCGATAAGTAATAATAACGCGCATTGTGCTGCTGCTAGGAGTCTAGGACTCCCCGTCGACGGGTCGAAAAGGGTAAAACGCGATAAAACAATAATAATAACAAAAATATTCTCAGGGTTGCCGGAGTCCTCAAGGACAACATAAAAGCTAAAAACATTTATGACAACGAAAAAAAAAAATGGTTATAGGCAGCAGCTATAATAGAAGGCTGATGATGCTGGGCGCGCTCTCTAGTCTCTACAACTAGTACGCCATTGACCGTGGTCGTGGCGGTGGCCGTAACGCCAGCGGAGGGGGTGTGAATATTTTGGGCGATAAACGTCCCGGTGAGAACGCTGCCTGGTCGGCGGCGACAATAATAAAACGCTTGTGCGGCAGAGCGGCGGGCCCGACGCCCGAGCGGCGAGTAATGAGCATTGTTGGAATACTACTGCGCGTCGCGCCGACGCCGCCACTCGGTCGTCGTCGCCGTGTTGATGTCATTGTTGTCGCCCTCCCGCCGCTTTGTGCGTGCGTGTGACACGGCGAGTGTTTTTTTCGACGCAACCTTGGGAAGCGGCGGCGACGACGACGACTGGGTTTTTGTTTTTCCCGATGTACAAACGGAAAACATTATTTTGTTGATCGAAATCCGGTGCGCATGCGCCGCGGCAACAACGCGCCGCGGCCGGCAGTTGTTCACTAAACATTGTTTTATAACGTGAACTAAACCCAAGGCCGGTGCAGTTTGCCATCAACCATCGAAACGCGCGCCCGTTTCCGCCGCCGATTGTTCTGCTACTGTGCTCCTCTTGCATCTTCGTTGTCGGCCGGCCGGCACAATAATATTATAATATTTTTACAATAATAATCTTTATTATTATTTAAAAAATCTCCCGCCCGCGACGGTATTATTATCGTCATTTGTTTGTCTGGCGTTTGTTATTTGTTAGTTTAACACCGTCGACCGACCCCGCATGCGCGTCACCACCACTCGAACCGTCCGAAATTCGAAACGAAAACCCAACGGTTTTCCACTCTCGTCCGTCGCACATCGAGCGAGGTCGAGGGGTTGCGGCGGCGGTGGTGGTGGTGGTCCGCGAACCCTGTGCTAGGGCAGCTATGGAGTGGTACCGGGAGCAGACCATCCAGCTGATCGACTTATTCCGGAACCGTCCGGCCCTGTGGGACACCAGTTCGGTGCACTACCGTAACAAACGTATGAAGAATGAGTCCCTGGAGCAGATCAGCGCCAAGCTCAAGTGTCCCAAGGAGGAGATCGCCAAGAAGATATGCACGTTGCGCGTGCAGTTCAGCCGGGAGAACGTCAAGGTGAAACGGGCCCGGGAATCCGGTGGCACCGTTTACAACCCCAAATGGTTCGGCTACCAGCTGCTGTGTTTCCTGAACGATCAGTCCCGGTACACGTCGCAGCCGATCAACAACTGTTCGCCGGGCGCAGCCACTGCTCCGGGGGCGTCCGGAGCCATGTCGAGTGGCATGGTCGCGCAAAACGTGAGTAATATGGTGTGTTAATGTAATATTAATACTATTTCGACGGAGTCATCACTTTTTGTTGACCATTATCATCAAACTAAAAATAATTTCTACAAAGGTATTGATGAAGTGCTAAGGTGTAACTCCGTCCGGTGATATACGTACAATGTGGTGGATGGATATTTCGACGAGTGTCAACCGGTTAGTTCCAATAGTTGTAGGTGGGAACAGCGGCGGTGAATCTATAGAGCTTGCTTATGATTTATCCCCTCCTGCCATTTATAGACATGACGTTTGCGCAGTCCTTTACGAATATCTTGTTATTTACGTTTGAAAATCACTTAAGCTATGACAGTATTATTGGTAATTGTTTAATCGAAATATAATTAAATAGTTTGCGATTTTCGACATGTAACAATAGGATAGTCATGATGATATTACTTGATATTATATGATATACCTACGTGCTAAGTTTAATATTGTACCCATGCTAATTAGAATTATGTGCCCCAACCCGGAGGATTTATGGCCCTACTGTATTGAAATCTGTTTCTTATAAAATCTGTACATTCTACCTACGGTTTGTGACGTCTTGTGAGAATATTTTAATGCTAACAGTTTTGGTCTATTTCTATCACTTCCGAGTCTATTAAACTAGTTTGATAGATGCACCATATCATTATCGGTTTCAGATGGTTTTTTCAACCTTTAGGGGGTGATTACTATAACAAAAACAGGAAATGATTTCGGAACCACGTAAAACCGGCGGCCGAGACGTGAGAAAACGCTCGCAACTCGCATCGTGGGGCGCACTGCTTTGTTGTGTACGTTGTTAACGTTACCGTTGCGAGTTGGCGACGCTTATCGCTCAGCGTAGACGGCGCGACGCTTGCGCTTGACTGTATGTAGTATCAGGCCGCCCCTAAAACCCGCCCACCGCTGGTGCACGATGATTGCTCCGTCCGCTTGACGAGCACCGCGGGGTTCGTTCGGATCAGGGCGATACGCCACGCGCGCCAAGTACGTTTTTACTCTTGAGTTTGAAAACCGTCTGTACCAAGACCATAATATTATACGTAATTTATTATAATAGAAGATAATTGTTATGACTTACTCGTCTCTGTGCATGTGGTCGTCATCCCGACAAATGTATTAGCCTCGCATTTTTTAGGGAGGTGTCATAATTTTTCTTAATTGTTAAATTGTATAATATGGATTTTGTATGCCTATACTTCAATGACGTAATATATTATTGTTATTATAATTTATTATTAAGATGATACATTTCTATGATCACAAATTCTATTCGTACCTATAGATATGAAAACTACCTACGTTGTCTTACGGTTTTCACTTTTTACTTTTAATTATACTTTACTTTTAATCAGTGAACGTTGTACTTACATCGAACTTTAAACCCCTCTCGAAAATATGTGTTACATAGGCTCCCGCAGAAATTGATCTAATGGGGAGGGGGAAGTTTGTTAATACATAATATAATATATAATATTAATTGTTAACTTTGCCAAATAGGGTTTTGTATAAAAGTGAAATTTTTCTGCCTATAACCGCCATAATTAGTAATTTTTCATAATATAGTCGATGAAAAAATGTCCAAAAAGCCAGGTTGCCTGAATGAAAAAAGGTTGAGTTTTGAGATTTTTAAATTATTATATAATAAGAAATTTGCCTGGAGTTAATTTATATTTTAGTACATTTTTATGTAGGTATGTGTTTAAATGAAACTTAGCTAGGCGTAGATCTACAAATATTAAATAGAGGAAGTTACATATTTTTTTAGTACAAATACAATTACATATTATTTTAACTTTCGGTTATAGATTACAGATAAGATTTGACAGCAATATTTACAATTGTACTTATATTATAAATGTGTGGAATTTAAGAGTAATAACTATTAATTATATAAAAAAAAATATTATACCTATATAACATTTTTACCCCTTGGATAATTAATAACTAATAATTTTTCCAGCTTTTATACTAGTTTGTAATTACTAATTAATATTGTATATTATAAATATAATTTATAATTTGTAATTAGGGTAAATTTCAAGTCTCTAAATTATTGCCTGTTGGTACTTAGATATATTAATATGTTGTTTTGAATTACAATTTACAACAATTAGATTAAAAACTGGAATATTCGTCAAACGTCTGGTAGTATTGAATTCACTAAATTATATCTGTACGGGAATAGAATTAAATAGGTGACTCAGTAGTGTCCAGTATACCACTATACCATGGTCGTATACTGTTTTACCTTACCGAATACCGGTATACGATTACACTTAAAGCAACTACCTTAATCGAATGTACTATTTCAATATCTCATGCAAAACTTTTCAAACTCTTTCTACCCTTAAAAGTTAAAATTAATATTATGTGAATTCACCCACCTGCAATATACTAGCTAACTAACTATGAATTATGATTAACTTCTATTTAACTGTAACAAAAACACGTAATGATTCTAAAAACAATAAGCAGTGAAAAGTATTCTTGCCTTTGCACGCATAATTTGACAGCTTGAAAGTATAATTTAGGTTGTTTATAATAAAAAAAAAATGTATACCTAAATGATAAACGCGTTAACGTTGGACTGTAAGCTAGAATATTTTGGTATAAAATACGGCAAAATCATTGCGTCCTACTTTTTAGAAAAATAACATAATTTCTACTCGTCCGTTTTGTTCGAAATAACATTTTGATAATGTAGTTTAAAATCTATAACCGACAAAATAGTTTAGTGTTATAACTCATTCTAGTACTAACTGGGAAAGTGTGCAATCAACCATCGGTTTTTTATTTACCATATTTCTCTCACAATTTTTCTAAATTTTTTGTATAATGATTTATGACGTTTATCAATGTATAAAGTATCAATTTATAATATAATTTATGTTTGGTTAAATGTTTGATGTCGACAAATATACGATATTATTAATCTATTCCCTCCGATGATCATTATTTATTAATACGTTCATGGAAACGATCATTGATACAATTTTGATTCAAATTTCAAGTCAATTAAGAGGATGTCAGCGCACTATTTGTTTTCTCTCTCTGGCCCACGCGCAGCATAGACACAACGCATGAACGCAGAATCATTTTTTTTATGTTTTAAGTAATCTTAGAGTAAAATCACCTATTACAAAAAAGATAGAGAATCATATTTTTGAGGGAATGTCATATCGATTTTATATTTTATTGTTATTTGACTTTGTATTCGACTTTCAAAATAAACAAAAAAAGTTGTACATTAAAATTATGTTTAAATTGTTTTGAGACAATATTTAGACAAATCAATATGACATTCCCTCAAAAATATTATTCTCTATCTTTTTTGTAATGGGTGATTTTACTCTAAGATTACTTAAAAACATAGAAAAAATGTTTCTGCGTAAATGTGTTTTGTCTATGTTGCGCGTGGGTCAGAGAGAGAAAACAAATAGTGCGCTGGAGGACGTGATACCCGCATGTGTGGTTTCCGGTGGTCTCCGTCTTACAAGTGTGTAACATAGCAAATTCTACGCAAAGCAGAACACTTGTAGCTCCATTAGTTTAAAAATTAGAGTGAATTGACCTCTTATAAAATCTAAAGGTAAGATTATTATCTAGACAACCCCTTGGACTTTTTATTATATTTTAATTTTTAAGCGAGCTATGAGTATTTTAAAATTGTAAATTGTTTATAGATCTTAAAGTACTCATAACTGCTTAAAAATTAAAATAATATAAAAAGCCCATGAGATTATCTAGATAATAATCTTACCTTTAGATTTTATAAGAAGTTAATTTACTATAATTTTTAAATTAACGGAGCTACACGAGTGTTGCTGAGCGTAAAATTTGCTATGTTATGTTCTTGTAAGACGGAGACAACACATACGGGTATCACTCCCTATTAAATATAATGGTTAAATTATACATATATATATATAAGTATGCATATACACTCGAATTCAGATTTACGTCATTACGTGTCGTAAAATGTTAAAAATTAATAAATAAAAATAGTAAACTGCTACTCTACCGCAAAAATATTAATTATCCCCTCGTTTAGATAATCAGATTTTGCACTCCGCAGTAAATTAGTATTTAAAAATAACATCGTGTTTCAATCATAGACATATAAAATATACATGAAATGCAAGAATCTAAGAAAATTGCCACACTAAACAAAAGACAAAACGAACTCTATATCTATAAAAATTAATTATAATAAGTTTTGCTAATTATCTAATATAAATTATATTATTAATTCTACAATTACTATAGACTATAACTATAGTATAATAAGTAATAACTAAACTAATTCTATAGTAATTGAGTCATATATTATAATCTTATATTAATGATTTTTTTTATCATAAAAGTTATAATAAAATATAAATGAAAAATATTATCTAAGTATAGGTAGTGAATTACTAAATAAGGTGTTACATTTTATGGTAGAAAATAGACAACTGTGTCCATGTATGCATGTTTGTAACCTAAGACGTAATATAATCTTCACTTTTGCAAAACACTGAAACTTAAAATTAATGTTTTATTCTGCTTTACGTAATTACGTTTACCCAGGCGTGGATCCAGAGGGGGTGCTATAGCACATTAGCACCCCCCCCCCCTTTTGCCTTGGCATATTGCTTCCTGGAAAACAAATTTTAAGCATATTCATTTTGAGAACTAATAAAATGTCTTGTCATCAGGATGGAGTATACAAAATACGAGACCTTAACCTTAGCACCCCCCTATAAAAATCCTAAATCCGCCACTGCTTTTATCATACGATAGTAATATTAACGATTTTACGTTTAAAAAAAAATCCTCTTGTATTAAAAGGTGAAAGCCATAATTTAAATTTATTCGTTTTCTTTCGGTTAATATTATGTAAACAATGTCTTGAGTTTATATATTTCTTGTGTATATATTATATATATATATTGCTCTGTACTTTGGGCCACGGCTCGTTTTGTTATAAAATAAATAAATTA